GCAATTTGTGGGTTGTGCCGTATGGACAGCTGTATACCGCAATTTCAAAAACTGAGATTATTAACAGTTCCTTCAATATATATATTTGAAACGGTTCTTTTTGTTCGGAGAAATCTCACACTCTTCAGCAAAGTGGAAAGTACACGAAGACACAATAAATTGAAACTGGTTGCCTGTAAGACTACCCTCTTTCATGATAATATTTGTGCGATGGTGCCAAAACTATACAATAAGATGCCTAATTATATACTTGAGACTAACGACAATGCCAATTTTTAAAAAGCGATTATTTAATTTATTGACTGGGAAAGCATATTATAAAGTCAGCGATTACTTAAATGACAAGAACATAGAATAATAATTAACCACCACAAAATAATGACATAAATATAATTAAGAATTAAAATTAAAATTAAGATTTGACATTTTGTAATTAAAATGTAGTAGTATACTGTTAAATTAATTTAATTATGTAAATTGTATGCCGTAAAATTGGCAATACGTACTGAGACAAAAATGTTAAATAAGACCTTATAGACGTGCGTACACAATAAATGATTTGATTTGATTTGATTTGAAAGTAATTTTTCAATTTTCGTCCATTATAGCAAAGCTCAAGTTAAACTGGACGATATAAAGTGAAACAATCAGCGACACCCGTCAATTGTTTCGAATTCGGGCTGGCCAATCGGAGCGCAGTTGTAACCGGAATGATTTGGTAGAATAGTTTTAAAACAAATAAATGACAGAAGACATAGTAGTCTAATGGTTTGACCTACTGCCTCTCAAGCAGAGGGTAGTGGGTTCGAATCCGGGCTCGCGCCACTGAGTTTCTCGGAATTTATGTACGAAAGTTAATTTGAAATTTGTCATGAGCTTTTCGGTGAAGGAAAACATTGTGGTGAAACCTGCACGTTCAAGAAGGTTCACAACCCTCGAAAAACGTGTGAAGTTCCCAACCCGCATTGGGCCAGTGTGGCGGACTGCCTAAACCCTCGTCGGGACATATAAATGGGTTGATGATGATGATAAAATGACATTTCGTCTCTATTTCTGGTTATTTACACGATTCTGAGAACTTAACACACACATAGGCTCTTCTAGCGTCTGAGGTAAAAAGAAAGAAAATAATATAATTTCATTTTTTTCTTATTGTATTATGAATTTCGGTTTCAAAAACAAAAGTTCAAAACGAATTATTGTAACTTTTTATATTCTCAATTGCCTTTTATTCAATCCCGGCTCGGCTCCTACATGTCACTGTGTGTGACGAAGATCTCGGATTATGTGACGTATATGCTATTCTTTTACACAAAATAACTTTTTCTTTGAAAAAACAACAATTTTCAATGAGTAATGTGTTTTCAATTGCTTTTGAATATAGGTATCTAAAACATTTTACTTTGTTGGATTAAAAAAAGAATTTTACTTTTGTTATACTATTTTTTTTATTAAGTTTTGACTTGGATACAAGTCCTTAGAGTCATGTCTTCGTTTAATTATCGGGATCCTCAGTAATATTTTCCATTGCGGTTTCTATACATTATGTTTTCACTTTCTGTTAAATAACTTAGTTCACTTATTTATGTTTTTTAAATAGTCTTAAGCGGCGGGAGTCAATATTTATGTTTTCACTTTCTCTTCAATCACATTATCTTCTATTACTTTGAACAAAAACTTTGAATTCGTAATTAATGGAATTTTTAATATAAAGTCTTTTGTAATTTGGTTTATAATAAGGAATATAGCTTTCTTTATCACTATTTCTTTCTTCGTTTTTTCTTCATAATATACTTAAAATAAAAATAATCTTCGTAAAAGCTGCACTTGCAACTTTAAAAGCCCGCCATTTATCTTCTTTTACTATGTTATTCTAATATCAATAGAGTTGCAATTTTTTTATAAAAAAAAAACGATCTGAAAAGTTAGCTCAGGTTTCGCTGTGTTCGTTAACGTGGTTTCCTCAAGGATATCTGAAACGCATAATATGGAAGTCCTCATGATAACGAATACAGACATACAAATAAAGCTAGTTGCTGTACTGTTAATGAGTTCCTCTCACCTGTCTGCCATTTCAATCATCAGCTGAGCTCTAGGTCACCATATGACATTTTACTTCCATTGGAATTACATCATGTGCCAAGTTCTATTGAAATCGATTAACAATCGATTAAGAAAGTGGGTGAAACTCAATAAACTGGATTCATCATCCAATTTGTGACCCTTAAAGGTGGACCTGCTCCAATTTTAAATAGGGCCTCTACTGAAGTACTCACTTTTCAACAAAAAAGAATCACCAAAATGAGTTCACAAATGTGGGAGTGATTGCGTAATACACAAAAGCTGCAGTAGAGGTCGTTGTGAAAGAGTTGGTCCAGGGAAGTACTGCCTCCTTGTGCAGTTGCTGGTCTGCCATCGGACGCGTCCCCAGGTGGCGGATAGGGGAACGGCTCCCAGATATGGGAGCTACCGGCTTTGGCCGGCGCGGACCAAAACCAGCAGGGAGGGAGGGAAGATAGCGCAGGTTCTGTCCGGCGCTATCTAACCCGCAACCGAGACGGTGGGCGGTGTTCGGTCCCCAGACCGGCTCCGGCCAACCCGTAATCCTGCATTGAGCGGGACCGGGGGTCCTCCTCATTGAGAGGAGGGCCGCGAGGAAGAAAACCTCTATAAAAATTACCCCAATCCCAAGGTCAGCGTGCCAAGGGGATGAATGGCTGGAGGGGGTCCAGTCCCAAGCGCCGGGGAGGGGGGAAAGGGATCACACCCTGTCAAAAGGCGAAGCTGTGGATCAGCAAAATATGAAATGGCGAATCGGAAAATACAACTACCCCAGGAGGGTACCAGCTGCCTCGCAGTTGGAGAATCCCTCCCGGAGCCCTCGGGTTCCGGCTGCCCCTCGTATTCTGGGGGGGGGGGGGGGGGGCAACGACCGCCTTACATACACTCCATCGGATTTGAATGCCGATGCTGCGATGGCTGCGGAGTCGGACGACTCCAGTTTGATTACCGTTGAGTCCAATCAGGACTCATGCCAATTGTCTGGGAGATACTGGCAGCAGACCCGCCGAAAACGTTCCCGATCGAACAAGGAGAGCTCAGGCTCAGATTCAGCCTCACATGAGGAATCAGCGCCAGCCGTTAAAAAAGGTACCACTGCTAAAAGAGGCAAGGGTCACCATACTGTATCCGGGCTCATTGGCCCCTCTAAAAGCAGGAAGCAGCTCAGTGCTGCCTAAAAAGAGGAACTCCAACTGAGTGCAGAGGAAGAGGTAGCTCAACTATCTCAGAGATTGCGCGACAGGGACACATCTCGCCTGTCTGATTCACCAACTGGCGACGATGCAAGCCTTACGGCCTCTGCTCTCAAACAGCGAATGACGGACAGCGTCGAAATTATCCGGACGGTGTCCAAAAAATCAGGAAGGCTCAAGGGCACTTTTCAAAAGGCTCTAAATGATGCCGCGACGCAAATACTACGTGTAGCGGATACACTGTTCAGCCGGACCATTACGGAAGAAACAGCCCAGCTACAGGCAGATAACGCCCGCCTAGAAGCTGTGGTGGCTTTGCTACGTTCTGAGGTGAACGAGCTCAAGAACGAGCTAAGGACCTCATGGACAAAAGAAATGAGCCGCGAAGCAGGGCCTCGTCCTGCAACCCAAGACGCACCGATGCCAAGCAGTAGCCAGCAAGCGGTACCGTTCATCACGGAGGAGGTGACTAGCACCATTATGCGTGAAGTTGGCACAATGGTTAATGCTAGGCTAGAGGCTCTTGAAGATAGGCTGCTGCCTGAAAAGCGCCTCCGCCCACCGCTGGCAGCGGACAAAGCGAAGCATATACCTGGTGCACCTGAGAAACCTAGTATAGCGACTGCCCAACAATCGCAAGTCCCCTCAATACAGAAGGGTAAAAAGGGGAACAAAAACTAGAAGGGGAAAAGCGATTCCGCTCAAGCAGCTTCGCCCCAAAAGCAGGCTACCGTTCTGTCCGCAGCGCCCCAGTCCATGACCGAGCTTTGGTCAACAGTGGCAAGGCGAGACACGAAAAAGAAGGCGAAGGAGGCTCAAAGACCGCTGGGTCCAAAACCCATCAAACTAAGCTCTCCTCGATCAGCGGCGGTGGTTATCACCCTGCAACCAAACGCTGCAGAAAAAGGCGTTACATACGCAAATGTGCTTGCTACAGAGGCAAAAAATAAAATCGACCTCTCTGGCCTCGGCATTACTGCTCTACGTTTCCGTCGGGCTGCAACAGGTACGCGCATTCTGGAAATACCAGGGACAATGAACGGCGAGAAAGCCGACTCCCTAGCTGAAAAGTTGAGAGAGACGATTAACGGTGACACCATTCGGGTCACTAGGCCTACGAAGTGCGCGGAAATGCGCATTTCGGGTTTGGACGACCTCAATCGAGGAGGTTGTCGATGCCGTCACACGTGTGGAAAGCTGTGCGAAGGACATCATAAAAACGGGAGAGATCCGCTGGACTTCAGCCGGCCCTGGCACAGTCTGGGTGCGTTGTCCGGTGGAAATTGCCAAGAAAGTGGCCGTAAATAATCGCTTGCTAGTGGGTTGGGTCGCAGCGCAGGTTAAGCTGCTGCAAACCAGGCCAATGCGTTGCTTCCGCTGCTTTGAGCTTGGGCATGTCAAAGAGAGATGCACTGCAGAAGTAGACCGTAGCGATCAATGCTATCGTTGCGGTCAGCCTGGCCATAAAGCGAAACAGTGTTCTGCTGCACCACACTGTACGTTGTGTGCAGCCGTAAAAAAACCCGCAGGGCACAGGGTGGGCAGCAAATCCTGTGCTGACCCCCGCTCTAAGAAGAAGAGGACAAAAACTGCAGCTGGAACTGCGGTGGAACTAGTTCAGTTACCAACCAACAACCAGGTCAGGGCCGAGGAGGTGACTATGGAACTCTCATAATTGCGACCCGCCACTTTTTACAAGGAAATATCAACCACTGCGCCAGAGCCCAAGACCTCTTGCTCCAAACTATGGCGGAATGGTTGATACAAGTGGCCGTGATTGCCGAGCCATACTTTGTCCCGCCCAGAGATAACTGGGTAAGCGACAAGGACGACACGGTAACCATAATTTGTCAAGCTTCCGCTGGCTCCCCGCCCCTCGAAAAAGTAGCGAGGGGTAATGGATGCGTTGCAGCAGCATTGGGAGAGATTGTCGTGGTGGGAGTGTATTTCTCTCCTAATAAACCTTTATCAGAGTTTGAGAGGTTTCTAGTAGAGTTAGGGAACATGATTGGGCAATGTCACCCTCGCCCTGTACTCGTTCTCGGGGATTTTAACGCCAAATCCCTGGCGTGGGGGTCCTCAGTAACTGATGCGCGTGGCGAGGAACTTGAAGAATGGGCGTTGGCCACAGGGCTTGTTATCCTCAACAGAGGAACTACCAATACATGTGTCCGGCAGCAGGGCGGCTCAGTTATTGATATAACGTTCGCCAGCCCCGGTTTGGCACAACGCGTCGGTGGATGGAAAGGTATAGAAGATGTGGAGACGCTTTCGGACCACAGGTACATAAGGTTCGATGTCTCTTCATCCTTAGCATCCCCGCGCAGCCACAGCAGAAGAGTCCACCACAACAATAGCCCGAGATGGTCCTTAAAGCATCTAGACAGGGATGCCATGATAGAGGCATCCATAGTCAAGGCCTGGATTGCTGCTCCAGACAACCCTGTTGCGATCGAAGAAGAGGCGGATTGGTTTGTTGGCTCAATGACTGAGATCTGCGACGCAGGCATGCCGCGAGTCAAGCCTCACTCTCCAAAGTGTCAGGTGTACTGGTGGTCAGCGGAGTTCTCACAGCTACGCGACGCATGTGTGGAGGTGAGACGCCGGTACACTCGACAGCGCAGACTGCGTGGTCGAGACCAACAGAAGGAGACGCAACTGTGCGAATTATACAAGCTGGCGAAAAAGACTCTGCAGTTGGCCATCAGCAGGGCTAAAACCCAGGCTAGAGAGGAACAGCTGAAAACTCTTGATCAAGACCCTTGGGGACGCCCATACAAAGCGGTAAGAGGTAAACTTCGCCCTTGGGCTCCTCCACTGACACAAACTCTTCAGCCACAACTGGTAGAGGATGTTGTGTCAGCTTTGTTCCCGAGCAGAGCAGAATTCTCACCTCCAACTATGGTGCAGTCCGAGACTGTCACTGAAGACGAGGCACCAGAAGTCTCTTGCGCCGAGTTAAGTGTGGCCGTAAGGAAACTCAAGGCAAAGAATACTGCACCGGGATGGACGGCATACCTGGCCGTGCCTGGGTTTTGGACCTGAAAGTTCTGGAGCCCAGACTAAAGCGCCTTTTAGACGCATGTCTAGAGCAAAGAGCTTTGAGCGCATAATCGCAAACCGCCTCATCGGACAGATGCGAAGGGTGGGTCCAGACTTGGCCGATAACCAGTTTGGCTTCCGCGAAGGTAGATCGACGATCTATATGCGATCCTCCGTCTTAAGCGCCTGGCCGAGGAGGCAGTGTCCCAGGGAGATGTGGTTTTGGCGGTCTCTCTTGACATCGCCAACGCCTTCAACACCATGCCCTGGAACTGTATATTAGAGGCACAAAAGTACCACAACACACCCTCGTACCTGCGCCGGACTACAGCAGACTATCTCGCGGACCGCTTTGTGTCATATCAGGGACGCGAGGTATGCCGACGACGGCAAACGTCGTGCGGTGTTCCACAGGGATCGGTCCTCGGTCCGCTCCTGTGGAACATCGGATACGACTGGGCACTGCGAGGGGATAATCTCCCGAATGTCGACGTATTATGCTACGCTGACGACACATTGGTGACAGCGCGCGGGAAAAGCCACAAGGAGGCTTTAATTTTGGCCACAGCTGCTGTAGCCCAAGTTGTCAGAAGAATACGTCGGCTGGGCCTGGAGGTAGCCCTAAATAAGTCGGAGGTCCTCTGTTTTCATGGACCTAGACATAAACCACCTGTAGGATCCCGCATCGTGGTTAGTGGTGTTCATATCTCTGTCGAGTCGACGATGAGATATCTCGGACTAGTCCTCGACAGTCGATGGAGCTTCAGAACCCACTTTCAACTCTTGATGCCAAGGTTGATGCGAGCAACGGCCGCACTCGCTGGATTGTTACCGAACCTCGGGGGACCTAACGCTGCTTGCAGGCGGCTATATGTGGGCATTGTGCGTTCTATGGCCTTATATGGGGCCCCAGTGTGGGCTGAAGCCCTAAATGGCGGAAATGTGGCCCTATTGCGCAAGCCTCAAAGGGCGATGGCAATTAGAGTCTCGCGAGGGTACCGCACAATTTCTTACGAGGCGGCCTGCTTGCTGGCGGGGTCTCCCCCTTGGGATTTGGAGGCGAGAACTCTCGCCGCAGCTTATGTGTGGCGTGATGAGGCGCAAATTCGGGACCTCAGACCAACACCCGAGGAGGTTGAGAGTAAGAGGTCTGAGCTGCGTCTCATTCTGTACGATGAGTAGCGACGGAGACTGACGCAACCCTATGCTGGTCTCCGAACAATCGAGGCAGTTCGTCCAGTCTTATCGGAGTGGCTGGACAGGAAGTATGGCGTCCTGAGGTTCCGCATGACACAGGTGCTCTCGGGGCATGGTTGCTTCGGGAAGTACCTGTGTCGTATCGCCGGAAGGGAGCCTACTTCAGCATGTCACCACTGTGACAGCTGCCTCGAAGAGACGGCCCAGCACACGCTACAGGAGTGTCCTGCATGGGTTAAGCAGCGCGGTGAACTTGTCGCCGCCGTGGGGAGCGAACTTTCTCTCCCAACCATAGTTCGCTCAATGGTTGAGAGCAAAAGGTCGTGGGTCGCAGTCCAGGCATTCTGCGAGGAGGTCATGGTGAAGAAAGAGGCGGCGGAAAGGGAAAGGGAAGATTCAGCCCCTGACCCGATCCGCCGTCGGAGAGTGGGTCGCAGAAGGTGAGCTATGGCTCTCCAGCTGCCGACATAGGCGCGTAACGGGAGGCGAAAGCCCCCGTGACATGGGTCCATGAGCGGCAGACTTAGGGGAGTCCGTCGCTCGTTACTGGTGGACCCGAGATGGCGGCGTATGTGTTCCGCGTCTGCCACTCAAGATTGTTGACGGGGAGACAAGAACTCTCCCCGAAAAGCGAGATGGGGTTCGGCGCCCAGTCGGATCAATCACCGCCGGAGTCGCGGCAGAATGCGTAAGCGTCCCCGTGCCTTCGGCACATGGTGAGAAGACGGAACACCGTCAGGTTTTAGTCGGTAGGAGTCCGACATAACCCTTCGCCTCCCCCGGG